TCATTGTTGTTTGGCGGGCCTGGGCTGGATTCAAACCTGCCACTATAGGTGTATGTGGCTGGTGCCTTAGCCACTTGAGCCACAGGCACCGAGCCATCTTGTACATGTATTAAGGTACCCTGATGCTTTTGCCTTCTGTGTCCTACCAAATCAGAAGTGCCATGTTATTTTTATTAACTGTGGAAATTATAAGGCTCATTTTCTGAAGTCACAGGTTTCTTTCCTAAGGCCTGTGTCAAGAGACAGCTTTTGGTGTGGGTTCCTTAGTCATGGACTTAAGCTAGTGGATGAACAAAGGACTTTTACATACATTCCACAGGAGGGGACAACATTAATTATCCTTCTTAGTCTAGGTACTTAGCCTTTTTTGTTGTTGTTTTTAGGGGAGGGGGATCACGGACCATGCTGAAAATCTCTGAATGCTAAAGACCTTCTCTCCAGAAAGGCAACACACAATAAATTTGCAAGATTCATGGACGCTTTCGGGGTCCCTATTTAAAGAACCCTACTGGATAGAAGCCCTGTCTTATGGGAAATGGTGGGGGGTTGAGTTCCCTTTCTGAGGTTAAGAGGGCATTAGCATGCTAGGCGACAAAAGGTTACAGTAGGGTCCCTAGAGAACATCAGAGGCAGGCGCTACCTTGTCCAAGGCTTATCCACACATTTCACAAGATCTGTCCTCTCTGTTTCTAAAAACATGAAAGACATTTCAGACTTTCACAACTTTATTTGTTCTGTGGATAGATGTTTCCTTTAGAAGAAAAAAAAGGTAATATAAGCCAGGCAGAGAACAACAAATATTGTATGAATCTACTCAGACAAGGTACCTAGAACAGGCAGATTCATAGCAGGAGAAGAGAGATGACCACGATGTGAGGGAAGGGAGCATGGGGAGTTACGGTTTAGTGAGGGTCAAGTTTTAGGGATGATAAAATGTTTGGGGTTTAGGAAGTGGTGATGGCTCGGCGCCTATAGCTCAACCGGCTAAGGCGCCAGCCATGTACACAAAAAAAAAAAAAAAAAAGGAAGTGGTGATGGGGATGCAGGATTGTGAATGTACTTAATACCACTGAACTGTAGATTTACAAATGATTAAAATAAGTATGTATATTTTCCCATAATATGTATTTCTTTTTTTTTTTTTTTTTTGCCGTTTTTGGCTGGGGCTGAGTTTGAACCTACCACCTCCAGCATATGGGGCCAGCGCCCTACTCCTTTGAGCCACGGCACCCTACTCCTTTGAGCCACAGGCGCTGCCCCATAATACGTATTTCTGAAAAAGTTTATGTGTGAAGGGACTGTGTAGGTGTGAGTGTGTGTTGGTACAGATAAGGCAATTGCATAGAAAATGCTGAAGATGTGAAAGGCATATGGTGAGAAGTCCCCTTCCAAAAAGTCCAAACCTGTTGCCAGCACTCACTTTCCCTTTCTGGAGATAACCAACTTTACCACTTTCTTCTGTTTCCTCATTTATTTTTTCCCCACACTTTTTATGGACAAGGTACATTGTCAATGCTGTGCGCTGCCAAGGACATCTTTCCATAACAGATCACAACAGCTTCTTCCTCCTGTGATCCTGACAGCTGCATGCAATTCCTGCCTGGGACTGCACCACCATTTAGTTAAAATCTTCCTCCTCTACCCATGGGCTCTTACGTTCCTCCCACCCTTTAGTAGTTACAAACAATACTGCAATGAATAATTGTTTACATAATGTCA